CTTACTCTACAACAATCACAAAGAAGCTCGAAGCATCTCAATTACTCCATTGCCATCGATCACAGACTACCTGGTCTACTCTTACTCCTTACAAAGGACCTCGCGTGAGGAGGAAACAAGGAGGTCATTACTCCACCCGTTCTTGAGAACATCACGAGCACGTGATGAAAGAACATCTACCGCCCGGTCAAACCAAGGCAGGAGCTCATCGTCCCCGATCGCGGACGCCAGCAAGTACATGGTCCACATGTTGTTCCAAGCGCAGAGGACGGCTGTTTGGTGAAGGTTGAGCTTGTCCCAGCTCAAGACCACGCGGCTCGGATCGTACTCACTATCGAACACATCAAAGCAATGATGCTTCAACCAGGGTTCAAACCCAGACCCCTCCGGATCACCGTCGCTATCAACACCGTTGTCCGCCTCACAGCGGCTCGTGTCTCGCGCGATCTCATGAAAATAGAACCCACACAGGGTTCCTTCGTCCACCGTCGAGTACCTCCTCAAAGCAGTGTTTCGCGTCGCACAGCTCCGAATGAAAGCTTCCCGTTGCCTCAAGGGCAAATGAGCGTGGCCCAGCACACAATGGACCATGACGGCGGACCAAGCCGCCAGTCGCAAAACAGTATTCTCTCGAAAGTCGAGCAGAGACCGGAAGACGGTCACCGTGTCGTGTAACTCCTCGCTCACATTGTTCGCCATAACTTGGTCCTTGTCCAGGATCACAAATGCCTCCTCTGTTATATAATAACAGCATAGATCGGGCTCTCCGCCCTCTTCTAGTCGTTCGTCGCCCCTCGGCTCCGTCTCCTTGTCCCACTCCACCAGCGTGTGTGGTAAGACCAGCTGGGCATCCATGCCGTCTTCACTTGAAGAAGAAGCAATTGCACCGCAAAGAAGTGTCCGACACTTGTCGAAGTACCGGGTGTTGTGTTTCTCACTTGAGAAACGAAATGTGGAAGGTGTTGTGCCCGCACTGCACCGTCACCGGTGTCACGAAGGAAAATAACGATCAAGGGTTCTCACCAGTTGTGTTCAACACACTCGTTACCGCCTCTCTCCATCCCGTGGAGCAAAGGAAAGAGCTTGACTCTTTTCTGACGTGGGCGACTCTCTGTCTTTATATCCCCTCGGGAAGTGTGCCCCACACACGCTTGTTGTCACAATGTATGGCTGCGGTCAAGCCGTCAGCCTCACCCGCAGTCTTCGCTCCACTCCGACTCGTTGCATTGCATTTCACTCTGCGTTATGACTAATCCTTCCGTCTCTGACTCTCGGATTTTAGTAACACCATTCCTCCGTTGCACTCCGGATGGCTAGTGACTGGCAACCGACCCAGCCCCGGTGGTGC